AAGTCTAAACTTTGATAGATAGATAGATAGATAGATAGATAGATAGATAGATAGATAGATAGATAGATAGATAGATAGAACATGAAAATGTATAACTGACTACAAGAACAAAAACCATACATTTTTACAGTATTTTGCAGAAAAATTTAATTTATTGTCCATTAAAACAAATATATTTCTCCACAATATATGGCAACTTACAGTTAAACAATAAACTGTACCTTTCTGTACCAACTGTACCATTACATCAATTTAAAATGACAGCGTACACATTTCTAATTGTAGAGTGAAGGCAAACAAACCCCAAAAGTGTGTGTGACAAAGCCTCTAAATATGATTATGAGGATGGAAGAAAAAAAATGATTCTTGACTATATTTCTTCATTGCTTTTTCCTAACAGCAGATGCTTCCTTCAGGAAATGCACTCGAACAGCACCATGAGGATATACTACTTCTCTATTTTAGCATCATAACCCCTTCTGAATCATTTCAGTAAATGTGACTTGCACTATGGTATATTTGATTCAAACTACACATTCAAAACAGGCATGAGAGAAACACTCTTTGTGTGAAGTCACCAGGTTCTGTGGGAAGGACTCAAGCTTATGGAAGATTGTCTGAGCACTTGCTACACCTCCAGCCCCAAACTCCCATTATCCTCTCGGACAGAAGGAAATTGCCATTTCTCATTTTCTGCAATTGCAGTGAACATGCTTTACTCATTAGCAGACTACTCCAGCAGATGCAGAACATGACTGATGCTTTACATCTCGAAAGAGAACACGATCCTCCTGCCTGTGAAGGTCTTAGCTGACGTTGTTTTTTAACACATCTGCAAATGTTTCTATTTTAGCTCTGCATGTCAAAATGGAAAAAAAAAGAAACATCCCAAAATGTGAGTAGCCAACTGTTTCTTCTTCTATTTTGTTCTGTTCCATTCAACAATCATACTGGCCCTTATTTTCTGGACAATTCCTGCACCCTAACTCATGTTTAACTAAAAATAAAAGCCAAAAAAGCAATTGTTCGTGCTCAAACTGCAGCTCTCAGTTTTCCCTGAGGGGGTTGTATTTCATCTTAATACTACTGTGGTGCTGGGTATGGAGTCATGCATGAATGCAGGGAAGCAGTACCATGTTTGTTTGAGAAGTAATGCAAAGTGAATGTCCCTGCAAAACAAAGAAAATGTGAGCAGTTACATCAAGACTGTGCAACCAAAGATTAGGTAACAAAACTCAAATGAAGCCTGCTAGGAGAGATGCACATGACCCCTCTTAACTCAACCCTCTAAACTCAATAGAAATCAAAAGGCTTCAATACTGAGGGAAACCATACCATTAGGGATATTTCACCCAAAAATCTAAATTTTGTCATGATTTACTCAGCCTCCACTTGTTCCAAACCTATATGAGTTTCTTTCTTCTGTTGAATGCAAAAGAAGATGAAGAATGTTGGGAACTAAACAGTTGATAGTAGCCGCTGACTTATAGTGGACCCTTTGGAATTTTCTGCTGTTTCTGCATAAATATTACTTAAAGATCATCAGGTTTTCATGCAAGTTCCGAAAGTTGACACAGAGAACCCAATCAAACAAATGAGATGAAAATATATACCCTCTTAAAAATAAAGGTGCTTCACGATGCCATAGAAGAACCTTTTTTGTCCAAATGGTTCAATAAAGAACCTTTAGCATCTGAAGAACCTTTGTTTCACAAAAGGTTCTTTGTGGCAAAAGAAGGTTCTTCAGATTATAAAAAGGTAAGAAAGAGGTGGTTCTTTAAAGAACCTTTGACTGAATGGTTCTTTGTGGAACCAAAAATGGTTCTTCTATGCATGGCAGATAGATAGATAGATAGATAGATAGATAGATAGACAGATAGACAGATAGACAGATAGATAGATAGATAGATAGATAGATAGATAGATAGATAGATAGATAGATAGATAGATAGATAGAACATGAAAATGTATAACTGACTACAAGAACAAAAACCATACATTTTTACAGTATTTTGCAGAAAAATTTAATTTATTGTCCATTAAAACAAATATATTTCTCCACAATATATGGCAACTTACAGTTAAACAATAAACTGTACCTTTCTGTACCAACTGTACCATTACATCAATTTAAAATGACAGCGTACACATTTCTAATTGTAGAGTGAAGGCAAACAAACCCCAAAAGTGTGTGTGACAAAGCCTCTAAATATGATTATGAGGATGGAAGAAAAAAAAATGATTCTTGACTATATTTCTTCATTGCTTTTTCCTAACAGCAGATGCTTCCTTCAGGAAATGCACTCGAACAGCACCATGAGGATATACTACTTCTCTATTTTAGCATCATAACCCCTTCTGAATCATTTCAGTAAATGTGACTTGCACTATGGTATATTTGATTCAAACTACACATTCAAAACAGGCATGAGAGAAACACTCTTTGTGTGAAGTCACCAGGTTCTGTGGGAAGGACTCAAGCTTATGGAAGATTGTCTGAGCACTTGCTACACCTCCAGCCCCAAACTCCCATTATCCTCTCGGACAGAAGGAAATTGCCATTTCTCATTTTCTGCAATTGCAGTGAACATGCTTTACTCATTAGCAGACTACTCCAGCAGATGCAGAACATGACTGATGCTTTACATCTCGAAAGAGAACACGATCCTCCTGCCTGTGAAGGTCTTAGCTGACGTTGTTTTTTAACACATCTGCAAATGTTTCTATTTTAGCTCTGCATGTCAAAATGGAAAAAAAAAGAAACATCCCAAAATGTGAGTAGCCAACTGTTTCTTCTTCTATTTTGTTCTGTTCCATTCAACAATCATACTAGCCCTTATTTTCTGGACAATTCCTGCACCCTAACTCATGTTTAACTAAAAATAAAAGCCAAAAAAGCAATTGTTCGTGCTCAAACTGCAGCTCTCAGTTTTCCCTGAGGGGGTTGTATTTCAGCTTAATACTACTGTGGTGCTGGGTATGGAGTCATGCATGAATGCAGGGAAGCAGTACATGTTTGTTTGAGAAGTAATGCAAAGTGAATGTCCCTGCAAAACAAAGAAAATGTGAGCAGTTACATCAAGACTGTGCAACCAAAGATTAGGTAACAAAACTCAAATGAAGCCTGCTAGGAGAGATGCACATGACCTCTCTTAACTCAACCCTCTAAACTCAATAGAAATCAAAAGGCTTCAATACTGAGGGAAACCATACCATTAGGGATATTTCACCCAAAAATCTAAATTTTGTCATGATTTACTCAGAAATCCATTGTAAAATATAACGTTAAAAATGTGTAACTGTATAAATTAAAAGTAATTTGCATTTAAATTGTAATGCTAAATTATTTACAAAAACGTTTTAATTAAATTTATTTACAAAAAAAGCTGTCATACAATCATCTTGGTAAAATTTCTATTATTCGACGGCTTTATTATTAGTCGCTCCATCAGTGAAATCCTTGATTGCGAAATGTTCCCTATTATCTGCTCAAAGAACCTTTGACTGAATGGTTCTTTGTGGAACCAAAAATGGTTATTCTATGCATGGCATCGCTGTGAAGCACCTTTA